ACTCTCGACAGCCATAAGTCCGTCCCATCAGAAATAGGAGCACTACTTGTCCCAGGAGGCAACGCCACCAGCACGTGAACAGGTGTGTTCATCGACTCGACATCCTCTAGCGTGGGTACGAACTTGACGTCCTTCTCCGACAAGCCAACCAAGCTGAGCGGCGCTCCTGCAACGCCCAATAGCTTCAAATCACTCGTGTCACTGACACCGTCCTTCACGTCGTTCTCCGTTAGCCACACCCCAGCGCCTTTCTTCTTCTTCGCCAGGAAGAGCTGCAGGTTCTTGGCGTCGCATGTGATCGTCCATGCGTTCTTCTCCTTGATCGCGTCCTTCAAGTGCCCCACGGACTTGTTCTCGTCAATGTCCACAGGGAACGCGCTCCCAGCCACACCAACGACGACACAGTACAAAGTAACCATAGTTCCTCGAGCCGCTGATACTGGAATGAGATACCTAAGGTTGCACGCGGGAAAAGAAGGTGAGCTTCACCGTGACTCACGGCGTGAGGGGGGGATAATTTTGCACCTGTTCTCTGGATTTTATCCAGAGTCCCGAGATAATCCAGCGATTTCGCTAGCCCTGTCATAACAGTTTCGGATCGTTTGAGTGCTCATTTAAAGCAGTTTTTAAAAGCAGCTTCCTTTTCACAAATAATTTTATTGTAGGCTGACCCATCCACGAGAGATGAAGACAAAATACCTTGTTAAACTTGCACGATGAAGCTGTATTGTAACCTGTCAGAAAATATTTATTCAAGCCTACTAGTCGTGATTAGTCCCTGTCGAAACCCGATGGGACCTCATTCAGAGTACTAGCAGTATTGTAAAAAAACTCGCTGCTTTTTCCTACCTTTTTGTATGGCTACACTCAGCCTTTTCAATAAATTTGGGTCCCAGCTTACGGACCGCACCTATCTTTCTAACTCGGCCTATGAATGCCAAAATTACAAAAATTGAAAAAGGCCACACAATTATGAGGGTTCCCAAATGTGCAAGTCTTAGTGCAAACCCTCTGGCTGTGACGGGGTCACACAGCACCTTGCGCTAGAGGAAGTTAGCTTCCGAGAGTATGCAAACTCTCAGTGAACGGCAGTTCACAGGCCCCCTTTTATCGAAAGGGAGCGAAGTGACCTATTTAAGGTATGTAAACTGAGTATATTTATAGGAGACATCACCACTAGCCGGCAGTGTACCCATTCTCCGTTGGAGAGAATCTGCCCTCAAAGCGAAGCTGGTACCGTTTTCATGGCATACGCTGAGTTCTTCGCCCCGTTCTTCCACTAGCCGTCTTGGAGCCACTCATAATATAATAGGCATGACTAAACCTCGCTCAGCCCTATGGCTAATGTCCAGAAAGATCTGGGTTTGGGTTTAGGATAGTGATAAATTCACGCGAAGTCCTCCACTTTTGGATCTTTGAAGTCTCATGTATAAATACCCGCCAAACGTGCAACAGAGAGTGCACCACGATGTGATTGGAGGAAATGCTTTCTTACTGAATCTGACTCACTAAGAGCTACAATCGAAATGACAAATAACCACATTGTTGCTTGTCTCGGCGAAGAGCAGCTAAACTTTAGTCACAGGAAGCTGCCGCCCGTATACTGCGTATACTTTGTCGATAACAACATCACTAGTAAATCCTGCACGAACAAATCCAGAGACTACATCCCAGAAAAATTTGCACCCTGAGTAGGCAAACTTGTTGGCTCCTCGCTCGGCACCGGTAAACTCTTTCGCTGGCTTTAAGCCGTTCAAGTCGAGCTCGTACTCCCCCACCACTCGTACAGATCCTTCGGTCTTTTCGACAGTACCGCGTGGTATGCTTCGTGCGCAGCACTGCCATCTGTGCATGCTTCGGTTGCGACGATCGTATTGGCCAACACTGTCCTTGCAACAGGCTATAGAGCAATACGCCGGTAGACAGCCAATCCATTTCGATGGTTTCGCTGGCTTTCGGTACGCGAGCGGAGGACCTCGCTCAACATGCCAGCCACTTAGCGTTGCAGGCTAAATAGCTGGGAATGGAGTGCAGCGAAGTCTTTACGGGCACTGTTCGCAATATGTTGCTCTGGGTTCTATGCATTTGCTTAGCCTCGTTGCCATCGGTAGGGGCATCACGAATCTCAATGTGACGGGGTCACACAGCACCTTGCGCCTGAAGAAGTTAGCTTCCGGGAGTATACAAACTCTCAGTGAACGGCAGTTCATATGTCCCCTCTTTATCGAAGTGAACTATTTAAGGTAGAATGTAAACTGAGTATATTTATAGGTAGATAAAGCTTGGGCTTAATACAAACTATAAGTCACCTATAGAAATGCAATGTCACCAGCCAATGGTTGGCTTTGGACGACCTTGGTACCTTGTACCAAATATCCCCGATTATGACGTGTCATACTTCTGAAGTGTGACGTGTCACACCTGATGTAACTAGGGGTACACTTAGGGCTACGTACCCCGTTACACTCAACAAGCCGAAGTCACGGATAAGGGCACACACTTCACATGATTCACAGCGACGTTTCATCCAATGTTGACGTAGGCTCGTACAATGCGTTGCTTGAGCACATTCGGAAATAGGTCATAACCAAATCTTCCATCCGGGACGAGAGATGCCCAAAGTAGCGACAGAGCGAGCACCTTCGCAACTTCCTCCCTCCTCGATTTCTTAATTGCAAGTCCGACTTGATCGACCAGTAGCTCTTCGAGAACGGCATAATTTCCCTCTCTAAGTACGTAGCAGCATGGAGCCTTGACTTGTGAGGGTGGCAAGATTTTTGCAACCAACTGAGAGCCACCACTTGTTTTTTTTTCTGTATGCGCAAGTTGCAAGAACCAGTGAAAATACAACCCCCCAGTGCAACTATGTTTGCAAGTGATACTGTTTTATTTGCAAAGGTATCGCTTTCGCGAGAGCTTGAACTATGACTACTGCACCTGATCCGCCAATAAGAATGTGATACGGATAAAAATACAACATCGGTTGCAAATGGCCGGTTATATAGAAGTACAGCGACACCAGTGATCACCAGGCCATACGGCCTGTGACGTGCCCTGGAGTGAGCAATGACTGAACTTTCTCTAGTAGATCCCGGTGCTTCTGATTGACTAGACAAGCGGCTCATACCCGGCGCAACAACATCCGGTTTCAACCTCCCGTCCGTTGTGAGCCCTGCAGAGGAAAACGATGCAACTGTGCGCTCATTGAAGACATCAGGGCACCCAAAGTCTGTGAAAGAAGCTGCAGAGTTCAGCGATACGCCAACCGATATTACGATTTTGGCACCGATGGAGATGAAATGGTGCGCTGACCAGTGGTCGAAGATTCGCCACGGTTGTCTGCCGCCACAACCACCAGGACGTCTAGGTTTTCATAAATAAAAGCGTCCAAATCGCTGGCTTGTGAGCTGTAATCCGACCCAGGTGTGTTTCACGAGAATAAGAAAATCGTGGCACCAGCGTTAATTTGACTCTCTAGCAAGTCGCTGGCGTCTGCAGGTGTGACTAGTGACACAGCACAATGCAGCTGACCTGCGCAGGTTTCGCTCTGGGTCCCGATGTCCATAAATTCTATCCGTGCCTTGTCGACAATGCCGAGATTGGCATGTTTACCGCTAAACGAGCTGCCAGCTAACAGTCCAGCGACGTGAGTACCGTGATCACAAGTGATAGTTTCGGCTTCATCGCTTTGTTTGCCCAGCCATTGTACATGACGACTTTGCGCGCCGATAGCCTAATTACTTTAATACGAAAAATATCGCGTTCATCGTGATCGAATTGGTCGTGGTACAGATTCAATCCCGTGTCCGTGATACCCACAAATACGTCGCTTCCTCGAATACCGACCTCTCTGGCTGAATCAACACCCACTAGACTTGGCACGTACGCATCCAGCCGTCGACTCTTCCTGAAGAGTACAGCCATCACCAGACGCGTACGCCGGCCTCAGCATGGCCTAGAAGTTCCTTGTCGACTCCCGGTCGAACTAGCCCCGACGGACCAGTTCCCATGGAGCTCGGGTCCGACGAACAGCGTGACATCCGCTGCTTCGGCTGCGGGAAGATGGACCACTTCAAGCGCGACTGTCCCGCGGCAGACGGTCTTTCCCCAAGCCCGGCCTCATGGGTCACTGGCAGAAGCCAGGATCCCGGGGACAGGGGAACGCCGGAAACCAGTAGGCCTACTGGGGAGGAACTAAGTCTTCGTGATGGGTGCGCGGGTGGCGCATACCACCCTGAGAGTCTTCGCATTCTCGGATCGGCGAAAAGTAGCGGCGGGTTGCTCGTAGTATCCGGATGTGTACGGGGATATGATCACCGCTTTAGAATCCTAATCAATTCTGGGGCGTCGAAGAATTTCGCACGCCGCCAGACAGTTGCTCATAATAGCAACAAGTTGTCCGATGCTTTGAGAGAAAGCAGGAACGGTGTCAGTGCGACTGGCCGACGGGAAGGTCGTCACTGTCCCCAACGTCCAAGTGGATCTGGCCGTCAAGTTTGAGGACTTTGACAGCCTCGAACAGTTCACTGTTCTCGATATGGATCCATATGATATGATCCTGGGCATGCCCTGGCTTGAGGAGCACGAGCCCAGGATCGACTGGCGAGGCAAGGCCATTGGTGCCAGCCGCCCTGCGAAGTCCGACAGAGCATTGTTGAGTCATGTTCCCACCTCTGCCAGGACCCGGGGCGCCCGCAAGGGTTGCCAGAGTACCAAAGCACCCAGCAGATGCTTGGGAGTCGTCGACGTATATGACGACTTTGAGGATGCGTTGATGGTGGCAGCGCCCAGAGGAAGCGCTGACCAAGTGGGTAACTTAGGTCCACAAGCGGGTAACTTGTTCCGTAGACAGCTGCAGCTGTCACGAACACTGATAATAGCGTGTTCAAGGTGGGTAACAGAGCTCCACACACGGTCGCCCAGACCTTAGCTGAAGAGGAAGGCGTCGGACACACTTCCTGTGTGGGTAACATAGTGCCACACGCGGTCATCCAGACCTTAACTGAAGAGGAAGGCGTCGAACACGCTTCCTGTGTGGGCACCACAGTATCACACGATGTCACGAGTGCCTCGGATGTCGGTGCTCCGACATCCCCAGACGTGGGTAACAAAGCTCCACGTCACGGTCGCCGTCGACGACGACGCCGCCGCCGCCACAAGTCGGATCTAAAATTCGTTTAGATCGACGTTGCTTCAAGCGACGCGGAGTACAGGGCCCGGGCTCCTCCGACAAGGCCGGTGGAAGGGTGTTATCACATCTTCGATGGCGAGACCGGTTATCCGTCAAGGCATCTGGTGTCCACTTGGAACCGTTGCCAGAGGTTGCAGAGATACTGAACCTCGAGGAAATGACGGTCGAGGTTTTCCTGGCCAACCTCAAGGCTGGAAAGGTTGCCGAGATGGTGCTCAAAAGATCTGCGACCACTCGGGAGGAGCTGAACGCCTCCTCTGTCTTGGACGAGGACGTCCTGAAAGACCTGAACAAGCAGCGTCAGACGCGCTTGGGTTCCGAGATCCTTAAGAACCCCAAGGGTCCGGTGTATCCTTTGATGGCAGAGTATGCGGACGTGGTGAGCAAACACCCACGGACCCAACTTCGACCAGACAGAGGCGTTCGGCATGAGATTGATCTAGTGCCTGGCACAAAGTAGTGAGGCAATGGCCTCTCCCGCGCGAACAGTGCGAGGTCATTGATGCCTTCTTCGCTGCTAAAGCGAAGGAAGGCATGATGCGGGAGTCGAAGTCCCCGCACTCGACGCCAACTTTCTGCGTTCGGAAGCCGAAAGGAAAGTGGCGTCTAGTTTACGCTTATAACAAGCTGAACAACGCAGCAGTGCCGGCCCAAACACCAATCCCACGAAAGGATGCGTTGTTAAACAACATGGCCGGAAGCATACTGTACAGTGCGCTGGATTTGGTAGACGGATACTACCAGATCCTGATGCGAAAGAGCGACATCCCGCTCACCCGTGATCACCCCAAGCGGCATGCTTTGCGAGTAGCTCGTCATGCCGCAGGGCTTGGCTAACGCCCGGCGACGTTCAATCGCCTGGTGACGCAATTGCTCCGCCGATTACGTACCTTCGTACAGTCATACTTCGACGACATATTCGCCAATAGCCGTGGGAGGCAAGACGGCCATGGAGGTGCATCTGGGACACTTCCGTCTAGTGTTGGACGTGATGCGAGCGAACAAGCTCTACGCCAACATCGACAAGTGCGTCTTCGCGTCACCAGGAGATTAAGGTTCTCGGTTGCTTCGTAAGCAACGTGGGTGTTCGGGCTGACCCAGACAATGTCAAGGTCATAGCTGTCTGGCCAACGCCCCGATCCCAGAAGGATCTTCAAAAGTGGGTTGGGCTTGGCCAACTACCTTCACAAGTACAGCGCAGAGTACGCGGGCTTCGCTAAGCCCTTGTCGAGCCTTCTTCAGAAGGACGTCGAGTGGCACTGGGGGTAAGAGCACCTGAATGCCTTTGACAGCATCAAGGTCAGTCTCCAAGAGACCCCTGTTGTGGCCCTACCGGAAGATACGAATCCGTTTAGTGTCGTCTGCGATGCCTACGCCATCGGGTGCGCACTGCAGCAGGCCGACACGGCTGGAAATGAACAAGTCATCTCGTACCAGGTTAGGCAGCTTAAAGCCGTCGAACGGAACTACCCTGTCCACGACAAGGAGCTCCTGACAATGAAGTATGCCCTTGTGAAGTTTCGGGCTGCCTTCTGGGCTCACGACCCTTCGCGATCTACACAGACTACGCATCTTTGAGGACGGCGACAAATTCGCCTCACCTCTCGTAATGGATGGCGAGGTGGCTGTCCTTCTTCGCGGAGTACAACTTCCGCGTCGAGTACAAGCCGGGCAAACTCAACGTGCTTGCGGACGCCCTCTATCGACGTCCTGACTACAAGTTGGCCCACATCACACGGGTGACAACGGATCTATATGAGCGGATATGCATGGCGTATCGAGACGATGAGGCTGTCGCGCCTATCGTCAAGTTCCTCACGGCAGGAACGAGCGCGAAGTCCGACTGACTCTCGTCGCGACAGCGCTCACGGCTCCACCGATATGAGTTGAAGGATGGCCTCCTCTATTACCGGGTGGAGCCCAATGAACCTCCACGGGTGGCCGTACCCAACGACGAGGATCTGAAGTTTGATATCCTCGCGGAGACGCACGACGCGCCCTCCAGCGGCCACTTAATCCGCGAGAAAACCTTCCTGTCGGTCTCTCAGGCCTTCTGGTGGACCCACATGTACAAGTGGGTCGCCCGATACGTGAAGACATTTGAAGCATGTCAGCGGGTCAAACCTGCAGGGCACTCTTCGGCTCCACTACAAAGCCTGCTTGTACCGGCTGACAGTTGGAAGTTGATGAGTCTTGACTTCATCTTTGGGCTTCCCGCCGACGGACACGGCAGCACCGGAATTTTGGTGTTCGTGTGTCGGCTGAGCAAGATGGTACATCTTGCTCCGGTTCCCGTCACTGTTACGGGCGGCAAACCGGAAGGTTGCTCGTCGATAGGGTGTTCCGCTATCACAGTCTCCCGGAGACGATTGCCTAGCACCGAGACTCGTGGTTCGCGGCTGCGTTTTGGAAAACGCTGTTTCCTTTACGGGGAACTCGTCTGCAGATGTCCACTGCGGACTATCCACAGACAGATGGCCAGACAGAGCGCGTCAATCGAGTGCTCGAGGACACTCTGCGCAGTGTGTGCGCGGCAGCGCCACGTGCGTGGTCGATGCAGCTTCCAGCTGTTGCGTTTGCGCTCAATAACGCGGTGCACGCGTCCACGGGGCTCACGCCGTTCTACTTGAACGGCTTCCGTCACCCCAGAGTGCCTCTCACGCTTCGAGGAGACACTGACTCCTCCATGCTAAGTGGGGGGAGGCTCGGAGATCCCTTTCCTCCCAGGTCTCGGATGTAAGACCAGTTTCGCAGCGGAAACAAGTGGAATCCTTTATGGATACCAAGCTGAGTGTTGTCAACAGGGTTCGCGATGCCATGGCAGCGGCCCAGGATAAACAAAAGGAGTACTCCGACAAACATAAAAGAGGAAACTTAAGTGTATTTAAAGTGGGGGACTTAGTGTTTCTAGACACGAGGAACCTACCTCTTGACACTGTCAGCTCTGTCGGCAGCAACAAGCTGAAGCACCGCTTCATCGGACCATTTGCCGTCCTGGCCAGACATGGTACGTCGTACACCATCGACCTGCCTAAGTCAATGACGACGCACCCGACGTTCTATGCTGGACGTCTTAAGACATGGTGTTCCTCCGTGTGTCGTGTTCTTGCTTAACCACGTGGCCCCGCGCTAATTTAACCACAAACACTGCTTCCTGTGCCTTGAAGGTACGCTACGTATCGTGTTGGAAAAAGGGCACATTCTCTAAAGGTCGCACACTACACAAAGGAAGACGATGTTTTTGCTGCGGTGGAGTGGGGGTGTAGGGTGGGAGGCCACTATACACTTTAAAAGTTTTATCATTAGTATTAGTAGTAAAGCTATGTATTTTTATCTAACACAATCATGTGTAGTACTACTACAAACGATTGCAAGCAAAGGAAACTAAAATATGTTATGCAAAATAATCGTGTGAGTAAAACTACTATAAAGTTACAACGAAGCTTAAATCATTTTATTTTTTAACTTAAGTACTTAGAGGACTATTCAAGACTCATTTCTATTAACAGCTTGTGTAACCAGACATTGCGTCTATGCGGCCTACTACCGGTAATGCTAGCTAACGCGCACACAGGCAGCGCCCTTTGCGTGAAATGGCGCTCCGTGCTCGAAATGGGGGCAAAATGAAATTTAAGTGGTGCATTTAAGTACGATATGTCGACACATAAAATGTGGGCACCACAAAATGTCAGGTTTAGCTCGTTACGACTGCATTCGCTGCGCTCGGCAGTCA